TCCAGTATTTCTCCATTACTGCGTGCTCTGAAAAAAACAACTATAAAACAGGATTTATAAGTTTAGTATATCGAGTGACCAAACAATTTTGGTACTTAACATTAAACAGCCTACTCTTCATATAGACTCAATATCATCTAACTTACATGAATGCGTTTTGGAGACGTTATCACACATGTACACACCTCCTCAGAGTATTTGGTGTTATGCAGAGGTGTTTGTGGCCAACTCACTGTAGGTGTTGCTGGCTCTGCCCACTTTCTGGAAGACTGATGGACCAGCGCCCGACTGGGACTGCCGCCTGGCTCCCTACCCACAACCAGATTTCAAGGACTGCTTGTCACAGATGGAAAAGTAAGTGGGTCATTCTACATAAGCTTGCCATTTTGCATCTCCGGTAACAAAAAAAAAAAAAATGTAAGTTCAATATCAGTGTATGTGTAAATATGCCACTTTTTTGTTTGTTTTGCCAAGTTTTTTATTTTTGCTTTACTTGACTATAAAGGCCATTATGAGATGCTATTGCTTGGCTATATTTCAGAGTACAATGTTTGGTGCATCTTATACATTCCACAAGTATTCTTACAACAAAATGAGCATATCCTAAGGTAATACAACACATTTTCTAGATAAAATGGTAAAAGTATCATTTGTTTTGTGAAATAATTTTCATTGAGGGCAAAACAGCAAGCTCGTGTAAAATGATTCAGCTTCTTTTCACTCTGTTCTTCTCTCTTTTGCCTCCACAGTTTTTGAGTGTTTAGCCCAGCCTGTAGTATGTAAAAATAATCGCATGCATGCACTGCATGTCTCGTATACTACTCTTACCATTAAAAATCATTTAAATTTGTTTACATTTTTAACATTCGGCTGAAGTATAATTAATATTTTAGTATAAAATAGTTGAGTCGCTGTCAGGAGAATTGCAGCAGAAGCTTGCGCACACTACAGCGAGACAGGGAAAACAAGTTGCAAACAGCCGGCAGAAAAAAATAAAAATAGATTATCAGAAACACTCAACATCATTGCAGTCCATGATCTATTTTAGTGTAAATGTTATTCGCATTTTAGAATGTTAATTGACTCCCCAGTAAACATTTAAATAATTCAAAAGTTACACTTCCACTTTTGCAAGTGAGATTTTTAATATATTGAAAAGTTTTTTTTTTTTTTCACTCATCTGTCTAGAGGGTTTGAAAAAGCGGGAAAAAGATAAAAGAAAAAGAATGGGTTTCATAGAGCCATAGTCATTAAAAGAATCTGAAAATAGCAACTCGCTATCATCTGTTCTCATAGCACGGGTCAGGAGCTCTGACACCTCCAAAATTCCTCCTGTCAGGGTAGGGGGCCATTTGTATTCTCTCTCATTAGGCAATTTGACTAATGACCTGCCGTGGCTGCAGAGCTACTGAGGGACCCAGAGCCTCGCGCCCTCTCTCTTGCAGCAGCCTGAACACACACCCTCTATTGGAATGGCACAGATGGCATGCCCGGACGACAAAATAAACTACAATATGTCTCCGAGATGCTGTCAGGCCTGGGCACTATTTCTCATGTCAGAGTGGGGCTAAGGGCTGTGAGTGGGCATAGGGGGGTCCTCCTCCAGCTCTCTGTTCATCTACTCACCATTATCTGCAGAGGTGACAGAGAGCGGGGTCTGCAACTAGAATAGCATCTCCATGGTCTGCATAAAGAATCCACCTCAAATTGAGAGTCACACCGACAGGAAAGGTATTGCAATGTCTAGCCTGGGTACACATAGAGAAAAGTCAACATCCAGTTGTTTGGAATATGAAATCTAGAAGCTTCCAGATAAAGCTCTACCCAATTTTTGAGCAGCTTTACTTATTATTTCTGATTATTTTATGGCACTAAACAATAGAAACCAGCTCAATCATGAGTTAAAAAATTGTAATAGATGCTCGCTCGCACTCGCAGATTATTGCCCTAGCTGTGACTTTCTCACTTAATTCAGGTGCGAGACAGATTCACCCAAGTAATCATACTAGACAGAGATCAATGCAATTCTGCTGAATTAGTGAAGTGTAAAATAAAAGTTCATCAACATTCCTAAAGTGTTACTCTTGAGTTGTGGTTCAGGTAATATGGGGTATGCTCGATCACCCACGCATATTTTTCCATCAGTCAGTGTCGGAGCACAACTTGCTGTGGTTTATGTGTGTGTGTGTGTGTGTGTATGTACGGCTGTGTGCATGGCCATGTCTGTTAGAGCCCTGGAAATGCAATGTATGGCGCTGCTGAAGTCCTGGGTGACAGTGCATCCAACAATGGAAGAGTGAGGGATTAGTGCTCAGCCCAGCGTACGAGGGAGCCCTTCCCGCCCTGAAACAGCCATTCATCTGTGCCCAGGGGCTGGAGATGACAATGCAGCCATTGCTCATCGCACCTGACGGAGCCATTAATAAGGCAATGATCCACACGGGGCCTGTGCTGACTCCGTTCTTTACACTACAATCACTCAAGCCACAGGGTCCTCCTTACTTAACGCCACCTCTGCACTCACCGCCGGCATCATCATCACTATCATCACCACCACCAACACCACCATCATCATCATCATCATCATCATAGACGTAGTCATTGTACCAAAATTCCTGCCAGATGTTTTCATATTGACTGCTCTCATACACTCCCAATGCCAAATAACTACCCAATTCCCCACACTGCAGTACACTCATGAGTTAATGGACTGTAGCCCGGCCATTTGAGAGGCTGGAACATGCTTCATAGTGGGATTTCTGGTCAGAAGATTGGATTTACATTATTTTTGCCCTTTGCACCTTCAGATTTCTCCACGGTACAGCATTCATTCCTTACCACCAAGTCATCTCCCGCGCCTCTCCATTTGTCTGGATGTAAGATAGCTTCTCTAGTATAGATGGTGGAGGAATACAAAGTGAGATCTGGTTTTAAATGCAATCCTTGAGCAATAAAGAAACTCTCTGGCCTTCAACTCTGTGCATTCATCTGTCCATGCCACGCAGATCCATCAGCAGCTACAATCTCAGCTTCCTGTAGCTGGCTGATTAAAATGTATTCTTCCTGCCTACCTCTTGTGGTGTTGGTGCTCCCAGCGACACAGTAGAGCATGTTTATTCACTTGCTTTTATGAGTTTAAACAGGCCATCGTGCTTAGCCGATCACCCTGGCTTCCTCCTCCTCGCTGCTCCAAACAGCCACACACCCAAAGCTGCTACAGTGAGGTTGCACTTGCTTTTGGGTGAGTGGAAAAGGAGCTGGGGCTAAACCTTTTCACTCATTGCACTTTTTTTTTTAGCAGTGTCAGTCTTAAGGCCCGTCCATCACTTGGTTCGTAGGTCCACCACTTTGACCCAGACTGAAATATCTCCACAGCTACTGGATGGATTGCCATAAAATTTGGTAGAGACATTCAGATGATGAATCCTAATGACTTTGGTGATCACGTGACCTTTCCTCAAGCGCCACCATGAAGTAGACATTTGTGCTCTTGGGTGAAATATCTCAACTATTGGGATGGATTCCTGTTGAATTTGGTAAACACACTTAACGTCTCCTTCATGAACTGAACTGTAATAACTTTAGTGGTCCTTTGATTCCCATTTGCCCTAGCTGTAATGTTTTCAGCGCTGATTAGCAAATGCTAACATGCTAAACTAACATGGTGAACATGGTAAACAAACCTGCTTAACATCAACCTTTTAGCATTGTTATTATGAGGATGTTAGCATGCTTATGTTAGCATTTAGCTCAAAGCACGGTGGACCACTGCGAACTCTTGTTATTACTATGTTTTTTACTGTAGGAGATGACTGGAAGCCAAGAAACTAAATAAGCTTTCCTGTAGACATGAGGGTGAGGGTCGTGCTTTGATTACAAAGATCACATTGTACTACACTTGTGTGGAAAGTGCCAAACCATGGATGTGTGTAATATCCAAGAGAGGAGAGGAAGTGTCAAAGTGAGGGATATTTTAGAATTTCATACTTTTAAATATTGCTGTGAACAGGAAAGACCAAAAGGAGTGTCAGCTCCAAAGCGATGACTCATGAACAGCTTCGGCTTACATTTATGAGTTCCTTTTCCTGTGCCAGCGGCCTGATGGACTGTGGGTAAAAGAACACCAGTTGGAAGCTTGGCCTCTTGATATTTGGGGCTCCTGTCGAAGCCAACGGCAGCAGAAGTTTTGTGCTTCCAGATTTGGGAGTTTTATAATGAAGCTGAGCAGCTGCAGTGTTCCCTTCAGTCTGGAAACGAGAGGCTTTGTGTCCCTTGTCACCCTGTGTTAATTTGGGCCCTAATGTATTTTATAAACAAAGGGCTGCTCTCTAGCCTGACAGTCATGACACCTTGATTCCAGTGCAGGATGCAAGCAGTACGGGGTTACACCATTAATAATCAACTGGCAGCCATCACACCATTTTAACCACGATCATTATGATAAAGGGCATACACTTAATTACAGGCCTGCTTAATTATAGCTCTGTTGAAGCTCGTTTGTTTGGTCAAATGCTAATTATACCACCACGCTCTTGGCAAGTCCTCATTTCAATCCACTTTTTGCCGGCTGAACAGTGTGGCTTATTTTCATGCAAATTTGATATCTGGTGAATGTTTTGTCTCTCTTCTTTCCACTTTTCTGTGCCTAGTGTGAGTGTGTCTTTGTTTCGGAGGTGAACATCTCTCAGACAAGACGGAATCGGGAATAATCAAGAGTAATTAAACTGGAAGAGGGTTGGAAAAGGGCTGGGTTGGAGGAGTGGAGGTGCTCAAATACAGTGGAGAATAAAAAAGCCTTTCATCTTCTCTCCATAGACGGAAGGAGGGGAGGTGTAGGGGGGGGGGGGGATTGGGGATGCTGATAGCTTTTCTGCTTTATAATCCCACGTTTACTCTTGTGGAAATACTCAGAATCAAGAATAGGTAGTTGGGTAGTAATACTTTTTTTTTTGTTTAAAAAGTCGAACTAAAACTTTGTTTTTTTCTTATGTTTTTTGCAGCTCTGGATGATGTGCCCTTTGTGATCTCTCAGAAGTTTTTTGACAAACCCAAAGAGGTAAAAATTCTCTGAGTAACTAGTGACAAAATGTGAAATTACTTATTTATTATGTGTAATATGAGAGTGGTAATGATAGTTACTTGTACTGCAATCACTCCTTTCCTTTCCTTTTCTTACCATTCTTTTACTTTCCATTCTTTTCATTTTCTTTGCATTTGTTTTCCTTTTTCTTTCCTTTTCCTTTCCTTTCCTTTTCCTTTTGCTTTCCTCTCCTCCAGACTGAGTGATGAATGCGTGCAGTCAGGCAGAGCTGGCTCAATGTAGTCCATTTGGCTGGCTGGCGGCGGTTGTCACTATAGCCCCGTTTGTATTGACACAGAGAGGGAGAGGATTAAAGATTTTAAGCATGCTTACTTAGCCATGAGCCTAACCGCCATGTTTCTTGTGTGTGTTTTTTTTTTTTTTTCTCCTTCTTCTTCTCCCTCCTCCTCTCCCTGCTTTTGATTTCAGATGCAGCAAGTCAATTTAATGGGCATTACGATCAAATCCCTGGCAGAGATCGAGGAGGAAGTGAGTAGAGGCTGCAACGCTCGGCTGCCGCTGACGCTGCTGGCCCAGAATGCAAAGCAAACGGTCTTGGGGTTGTAATTAAGTGTCTGAGACAGCGAGGCCCTGTTGGCTCCACTAAGCCCCAATTGAATAAAAGCATGGCCAGGCTAGGCAGCCATTCTCTCTTAAAAGCTTCGTCTCCTGTTCCAAAACACTTGACTTTTATCCCCCAATTCTTCCCTCAAACAGCTCAATCTAGCATCTCACACAGTGCTGGAGATGTTGAGGAGTTTTTTTTTCTGGTCAGATTTTGCATGTTTATAACTTTTTTTTTTTTTTTTTTTTAAGTTTTCAATCAGCTTCATCTTCAGTAATGAAAAATGTAGAGACCATGAAACACTGTAGCCTGCGGGCATTAGTCGGAGGAAAATCATCTATGTGCAGCTCCTTCTTTAGAGCCCATGTGTTTGTGAGAGCAAGAAGGAAAAAAAAAAAAAAAGAGAGTCGGTGTGGGTGCTGTATTTGTGTGTGGGCGCATGTGTGTGTGTGTGTGTGCGCTTTAAAGAGAGTGACAACCCCCCTTCTCTCTCATTAGCACGGTATCTTGGTATCAGAACTGCCAGGAAGTGACAGACCACTGTAAAAGAACAGGTGCTGTTGGGTTTGAGATGTGTTACAGAGCAAACACTCCCTCATCAAACTGGGTGTCTGTTCTGCACTCTGCCTCTGTCTTCTGTCACATACTATCCAAATCACACAGTCGCCATCTTGTCATATGGTCATCTGAATGAAGCTCATTGTCAGCGCAGGTATTAATGGTGTGTATGTGTCTGTGTATGTGTGTCCAGGGTGGAGACAGGCTGGCTGCTCATTCTATATGCTCTTGTCTTTTTTCCTCCTCTCCTCTCCTCTCCCTCTCCCTCTCCCTCTCCCTCTCCTCCTTCCTTTCTTCTGAGAGAGTGTGATTAGCAGGAGGACACATGGTGAGCTGAGCTGGAGAAGGGAAGGGAAGGGCATGAGAAATCATTAATTACAGCCGCGCTGGAGCTGATGAAGTAAATGTGAGATAGTGTAACACACAGGATTTAGTGAAGTGGACGACAGCACAAGATTAATGGTGGGGCCAGGCTGATGAGGATGAAGTCACAGCTTAGCTTGATAATTAGTTTCCAAGTGGAAACATCCCTCACCATTGTGTTATTTTTACTTCTCTCCTCTTATTATTATCCCATGATGATATCTGCAGAACAAGGACTGGAAATACAGTTGGTAATATTCTCGCAAACACGTCTGTAGCACTTAATGTTTTCTTTTCTTTGTCTAGTTGTGCTTGTTTTTCTCTGTCAGCGTTACACTATAAATTTAACGTCCATTATGTTTTCTGTCTCAAAGCTTCTGTTGAAGTGGCTCATAAACCAAACAAGTCACAATATTGAGGTTCAGAAAAAGGCTGTTTTTAGTATGAAACTGTATCCCAGTTTTCTAAATGCTGGTGGGTGAATTTCTCCCTCTGTTGTCCAGAAGAGGTCACTGTCCATGCATTCGCTGTTGGGGTTTTCAGACCCCCCCCCCTTTAGAAACTAGTGGCATTTTGGCACAGAGTCTAATTGCTTCGTTTCTAAACCCATTCAAATATATAGATTCATGAGAGAGATGTACTCTCTAGAATTATACATATGCACATGTAATTGAGGAAAACTGTTGTAATCACAGCCACAGTTGTAGATAAGACCATTTCCTAACAGGCATCACTTAAGCCATGTCTCGGATGATGTTGGTTCCAGCAATTAGGCATTCTTTTCATTTCCCAAATGACTCGCAAAACTTGCGGATATTATAATTGCTTTTAGCCACGCATATCTAATTTGTGTCTTTTTAAGTGTTAATTAGTAAGCGATTTAAAGTGACATCTTTATGTAGTTTGCTCTGTTGAAAAATGTTGTTGGCGGCTGGCTAATGATTTGCAGAGGGAGTATGCTAGGGTGGAAAGAAGACTGTATGCACACATGACAAGATTTTCATTAGCACCTATGTATGATTGTTTTTCAGTGTTTGTTGGGAGTTGTGTGTGTGTGTGTGTGTGTGTGTGTGTGTGTGTGTGTGTGTGTGTGTGCGTGTGTGCGCGTGTGCGCGCGCGCACCTGCGCCTGCGTATGCTTGTGCAGGGGTGTGTGCATGTGTTTCCCTGTGAATGTATGGAGGGACAGTGGTGTACAGGGGTATGTGAGAGGTGTGAGAGGGAGAGCTCCAAATAGAGGTGGAATTAATGAAGACAACATGTCACATATTTTTGGCAGTGGAGCAGGGACAGGAAATGAAGCTCGGCTCGTCTGGGTGACTGCCGCCCATGTTCCAGTGTGTCACTGTCCTGTCAGCCTGTGTGTAAAACTGGCAGACATTGATACATGCTCTCCCTGATAACACCCCATTCCCCCATCCATCATCTCCACACACACACACACACGCACACACACATATACACGTACACACAGGATTATTTATTTACTGTGCCAGATGTTGAGTCTGAATTTTAGTGTGGTGGAGGGGGGCTAGATTTCTTCACAACTAACAGGCTTGTGATATGTGACAGGTTTTGGGTAACTTGCAGCTTCCCCTCAAGTAGATGAAAATCGGGGAAGGTGGTATTTTGATCGAGAGAACCCGGTTTCAGCCATCGTGGCTCCGTGGCTTCTGCTGGAGATTTGGAAACTTATTTCAGTGATCATACAGCATCACCTAGTGCTGTGTTGCAGTAATACAACAGTGTAACTTTGTGAAGTGAGCAGTACTTCATGTCACAAAACTTAATCGTTCAACCAGTGGAGCTTCACCCTCCAACAACATGAATGTGTTACTCTTTCTTTTAGAAAGTTTGACCATCAACTAATCAAAAGTGAGTGTTTTTAGTGTAGAATATTTAGTTACCTCAATCACCTTCCTTTGGAACTTTGTCTTTCTTTTGATCATTTCCTAATGATCTGTATTGAAAGAATATGAAGAAATGGATTAAGTTATCGCACTGCTGGGAACTGCTAATGTTTTTGAGGACGCTTGATCCAACTTTTTCTCTTCCAATAGAGATTCTACTACATCTAAGTCACAGTATCTGCTTATACCAAACACCAAATACCACTCCAATGCTCCCATTCCCCCACATTTAACATCTGTATGCCTCACTGTGTGAAACTCAAGAATTTTTATGTTAGCTAACTTGAGGCTAGAGGTTGCTGTGAACCTAAAAACTGACTGACTGATAGCAGAAGCTCTGAATTTTATAATAACATTAGCAGAGAAACAGTTATTCATATGGATCTGTCATGTTCTCTATTGGGGCCCAAAGCGATACCTTTGACCTTAAATGGTGTAACCTCCATGTCTTATATTTGGGTTTGTGCCATAATAGGACAGAACAGGCTTGTGGCACCAAAGCAGCAAATGTCTGGGGATGAGAGGTAGCAGAAGTTGATATTTTCAAAAGAAGGGAGTTAAAATAATGATTCATGCAGTCTGTTTTTTTGCACATTTTTCTGTCTTTGAATGCCACATAAGCCAAGAATGTTTGAAGCCCTGTTGCTTTTTATAGTCATATCCTCAACCTCCCAGAGGGGGGCAGTGTTTCTTCATACTTTTCAGTCTTCAGCCTGGATGACCACTTAAACACTGTGCTGTAGGGCTACTTTTATGCTTGTGGCTTCCAAAAGGGTGAATAATATTAAACCATTATGTTTTAAATCTATGGTTCAACTGCTATCAGTCTGTTACACTATGTAGATAATGGTGCTAATTGTGTGATTCTGAATTTTACTGCAGCATTTCTTATAAATGTATGCTTTTGGGAGCTTTCGGGAGCTTTGGGATTAATCATTACATAAATGCAGTTTGGTGCAGTTTGCTGTTTTTGTTCTGCTTTCACAATTTACTTTGAATCATCAGTGTGTACTTCCTCTTCTTCTTCTTCTTGTTCCCACAGTTTCACTACAACTTCAGCACAGAGCGAAGCATTGCTGTGTAACTTTACTCCCAGCCCTCTCAAGCTGACAGAGCCACATGGACTGGAAAAGTACCAATGGACAAAAGGGATCATTTATAAACAATGTACTATTGAAGAAGATACGGGATATATCGTAAAAAACGTATACATTGTGATTTTAGACAGAAAATTATTTTTTATTTTAATGGATTCTATGTAAATTGTTCAGTTCTTGAAATATTTTTGATAATATTCAACTTTGAACATTAAATTTTAGAAAATTTTCAACTTATTTATCTAGAGAGTGGCTTTTCTAAATTTGTGTGTTGTGTCTTATCTAACTCAGATAGTCTTAAAAGAAGTGTTCACAATAGTTTCATGCTCAAATTAAACAGATTGAATGATAAAAGTATGATAGCTGTGACTCACATTTTGCTCATCAGAATAGCAGGGCCGTGCTGGCAGTGAGTCGCAGCCAGAGAGGACAACAGGGAACAGAGAAGCAGCCTCATCACACACACACACTGACAGGCCCCTCTGAAGTTCATTTTCCAGCAGAGGCATCTTTCCATCACAAAGTTTATCATGAGCAACGTGCGGCAACAGCGAGCAGAGCTTTGAGACACGGGCCCCTTTTACCCCAGATGCCCACCCACGTCAGCTGTGACTCCTTTACTGAGTCAGATCTTTGAGAATAGAACAACAGTAAGTTTCAGCTCTGCAATATGTTAGTCCTGTCTGTAGTGTGGCATAGTGTGATATTCTTTAGCCCTAATAAACCCAAAACACAAGAGTATATTTTCTCTCTAACAAGCTAACAACACCTCGCTGCCACTTCACTGCCAGATACAGAAGCAGAATTTGCACTTGGATACCAAAACATCACTTTGTTCTCACTCCCACTCACATGTCATTTGCAACTAATTAAATTGTCAGAATCCATTTGCACATTTTTACAGGTGTAATTAGTATTAGAAACTCATTAATGGATTAATGTCCCTCTTGTTAATTAGACTCTCCTGCTAAGTTTGTGAACTTATGCATTCTGCCAACAGCGCAGGTACTCTTTATTTATTTATTTATTTATTTTATTTTTTTTTTCCTGACCAAAATTCCTAATGGCTTTTGGTATTCACAGGTGTTTAATGAAGCGCACAGCAGATGACAACCCTCTACCAGCGTTTGTGTTAACTCCTCTGTTCTGCTGCGGAAATCAAAGCGACGGTCTGAGGAATCCTCTGCAGAGGGAACAGCTTTCATGCTCCTTCATGAAGGTGACACTCATGTCAGTGATGCCCTAGAGCGCAGTGACAGGCTCCAGCAGCCCTCCTCCCTGCTACACTTAAAGTGCATATAAACAGTACGCCATATGTATCCAGATTCGTATGTAGTCTGTCGGAGCAAAAGGTGGAGCTGTGCTAATTTTCCATTTTCCACCATTACTCTTTAAAGTAATGTATGTAAGAAGAATTTTTGAAACATTGAATAATATTAGTATTTATATTAATGACTTAATCCATACATTTTTTTAGATAATGTTTTGTTTCAATTAAGTTAGATTATATTCTCTACTTTTATATTATTTAAAATCCAATGAAAAGACCGAAACCAACAACGGAGGGATCTTACTAGCATGTATCAACTACCTAGTTAAATATATCATATTCCTGCGTGCAGTAGACCTTCATTCTTGTCCAAAAATTATTATTAAAAACACATGGATGAGCCAAACCTCCTTCATTACAATGAAATTGTTTATTTTGAATTGACCCCACATACACCTCCTGCTGCTGTAAGTACTCACTAAAGCACCAAGTGAATATTAATCCTCAGCTCAAAATAGTCCTCTACAAACACTCTATTCACCGTTGTTTGAGTAACATTGGCTAAAAACAACAAAAGTGTATATTCCTGGCCTGTTTTAAAAGGTTTACATCTTCACTAGACGCAAATGTGATTGGGGCTGAGTGCCACAGACAAGTAAGGAAGCTAAAAATATTAAGATGCGGACTACTTGTTGGTTTAAGTCTTTTCATGGGAAGTGTTGGCAATTGCAAAAATATAGCATTATGTCCTGTGAGTATTATGTCCTGTGTTAGCAACATTGAGGGCCTTGCCGTTATCAGAGCTGGACAGCAGGTTGAGTCTGACATTAGCTCTGCAGGTCAGATGTAAGTGTTTAGAGTGAAACTGATCATTAGTCGGGCGTTCTGTGTTGATGGTGAGTGAAGCAGCAGCGTAGCCAAACTCTCCAGATGGGCACAGAGCAATCTTGCTCTCAGAACCACAACTCCCTCACGAGCCCTGCCCAGCATCACCCATCAAAAAGCTGCCTCACATGGTTTCAGTTTTCCTTTCACTCCACTTTATGATATGGAAAATGATGATTTTAAAAGACCACATTTTAAAATTAAAATGGATTCAACTTTTTTTGATCTGCAGTAGTTTAAATGATAGTGGAATGGCCGGGGGCTATTGTCTTTAAGTCTTTCACATATGGCGAATCTGTTTCGAGGCATCTCTTAAACTCCCTCGCTATCTCTAACTGACCGGGCCCACGTTAGGCTCCTCGGTCGCTGCTGCTGCGTCGCTCGGATTTGGATTTGGCTCCGCTGAAGTTGAGCTGAACTGCAGAGCAGCACATCAAAGCCCCACCCTCTGTGAGTCTGCCAGATGTCCCGTGGTCATTTTTAAACTCACACCCCGGCGCATGACATGGAGCAGTGTGTAAGCATGTAGACAGAGGTGGATGGGCTGCTTGGAAATTGGAAAAGGAAGCCTGTATTTATGAGGTGGTTTGAGGTGCTGTGTTAAGACGGGCTTAGCCTGCCACTCTCCCTCTGACAGCCCTGTTTCCCCCTGAGCTGGGGTGACCAGAGACACAGAGAGGTGAAGGAGTGAAGGCAGGAGGCCTGTCAAAGGAGGTCCAGACCAGAGCTGGACCCATGGCGAACACACTCTCAGGCAGGTGATGCAGCAAATCACATGAACAGAACATGTAAAGCCACATTTAATGTCCACTGGATTCGTATTTTCATAACAAGAGCAAACACAGACGTTGTGCTTCATAATGTGACTCCATCGGGCTAGTGCATGCTGGGATAGGTTCAGTCTTCCGCGACCTTAAAGGGGAAAAGCTTGTGAGAAAAATGAATGAATAAGTAAGTGCTGTTTTTCTAAAACACACAGGTTATAGGCAGTGAAACACTTACTCTGCCATTTACCGCTTACCTCCAACAGTCTCTCGTCTCTTCGTTCCTTGTTGACGTCATCACAAGCTGGAGTGCCCCACTGAGACTTAAAGCAAGAGGTTAGACGTGTGGTCTCCTCCCTACCGCCACCTTAACAAGCCCCTGGGCTGCAATCCGAGGGGAGCTGCACATCAAATCTGTCTTTCCGTACCTCAGCTAGAGGTAAGATGAGTGATCTCCCAGAGCAGGGATCGCCCCCTCCCTCCCCCACACAGCGGCTCTCCTCCCCTCTCTCTCAGCCACAGCGGCCAGCCCATGTGAGTCAAATTATTGTAATTGAGCAGGGATGGAGTCGGGTGTGAGGTGATCTCTCTCTTCATCCCCTCCTTCCCTCTCTCTCTCTCCCTCTCTCTCTCTTTCCCCCTTTTAGATATTTCTGCACGTGTTGTGAAATGACCAGCAAGCATCTTTTTTTTTTTTTCTCTCTTCCCTCCAACACTGCCTGTAACACAGAAATCAATTAACTCCTTTCAAGTCAGATCAAAGGCCCAATACACCATCCAGGTCTCTGCACAACCTATGGGACAATTAACTCTCCCTTTGGACAGCGACCAGACTGGACAGATGAAGGGAGGCTGCTGCCACTGTTCACATACGTGTGAAGTAGTCATAAACAACGGGAAGTGATTGGGCGGAATTTCAATGAGCATCCCCCTAATTTACCAGTTAGTTATGCATTAATACAACAGGGTGGTTTTCATTCATCTGCTGAGGACATCATGACTAAGGGAAACCTCTGTGTGTATTTTAGCGGATGTTTGTGCTATAAGCTGCATGTGGCTGACATGTTCACAGACAGATTATGAGACAAAGGGCCTGTGGACGCCCACCTCTCCTTTGTGGGAGCAAGACATGGAGACTAAAACCGACTAGTTTTGGCAGTTGTTGTGAGTCTCTTTGCAGTAGTTTAGTGTATCTTTGTAGTCGTTGTGAGTCTCTTTATTGTAGTTTTTTATGTATCTTGGTAGTTTTGAGTCTCTTTGCAGTAGTTTTGTGTATCTTTGTAATTGTTGTGAGTCTCTTTGCAGTAGTTTAGTGTATCTTTGTAATTGTTGTGAGTCTCTTTGCAGCAGTTTTGTGTATTTTTTTTGGCCGGAGCCGCCTGAGTCCTGGGCCCCTGAGCCTGTGCCCACAGTAGGCCTGTTCAATAATCCTTATGGACATGTTGGTAGCACAACATATGAGTGCCACATCAAACTGATAGGACATAGGGGAGTGAGTGGAGCTTTCGTCCACAGACAGGTGCACTGACCCTGTCCACCCCTGAAGGTGCCACTTGCATTTTATTGGACATTTATGGCCGGCCAGCATTTTTTAACAGCCACCTGGATGCAATAAAGGACCAGCTCCTGAGCTCTGGCTGCCCAGAGGATTTCCCAGCAGCTCCCGTGGGACCTCTGGCTAGTTAAGATGTTTATTAAGCTGAAAGTGGTCCAGTGGGAAAACACAGCACTTCTTAGAGATTCGGGCCAGCAGTTTTCTTGTTAGTCGGAGCGCTCCCCGGAGGATTGGTTTTCTTTTCCTTTCAAACCTCAGAGGGAGGACAGGGTCAGTTCACAGGGCACAAGGTTGACCAACTGGTAACTAGGCACATGAACCCAGGAAGGAAAATATCTCAATACCATCAAGGTCAGCCTGGAGTGATTCCCACAGTTACATAAAACATACTAAATACATACTAAAACATGCAAAGTAAGCTAAGCACACCCTAGTCTGCTGCAGCATAAAGCAATGTAGCCACTGTAGGAAGTGAATTGTTTAGATTTCCAGGAGGCAGCAACAACAGTAAGAATATAGAAAGTGGGTTTCAGTCGTTGCATCTGTCTGTGAAAAGGTTTGCTTTCAGAAAAATCTTCTGAACAAGAATCTCTACACTTTTAAAATTATTCTTTTTATGAAGCTACAATGTAAATGGCATTGAATACTATATGTTAAATACATAGATGTTTCATTCTCTTTAATGC